TTTTTTTTTTTTTTTTTTTTTTTTTTTTGTCATTCTTAACTCATTCATTCATTCTCCCATCATGTGTTCCTTCTCCCATTCCTGCCCTCATTCATTCAGTCAGTTGTGCACTCTTTTACTCACATTGACTCACACTCCAGTGCAGCTCTGCAGAATCCGTGCCCTCCACCATGTTTCCCACAAGTAACTGGGCCCAGAGACTTACCAGCTGCCAGCCTCACCGTCCTTGTCTGTGGAATGGGTGAGACAGTATACGCACATAAAGCCCTGCCCCCAGTGCCTGGCCTACAGTAGGCACATAATAAAAATTGTCACTCAGCTATCAAAGATCTAATTGGGCCTGTATACCATGCTGAGGCTGGGTCCTGAGGACAGGGAAGGACGTAGAACATAGTAGATGCTCAGTTAATTCCACAGGAAGAGAGAGAGGACTCAGCCCTGGGCTTGGTCTCCAAGGGCCGGGAGGGTTTGTGATGTGTCACACTTGAGAGTGGGACCCACTGAGGCATCCCTGGCACACAGGTTGGCACCCTGGATAGGTCAAAGTGGCTGATGTGTGGGCAGATTTAATGAAGGACTCGCAAAGCCACACCCTCTGGGCCATAGACATTTCACTCCTGCAGTCCACTAAGTACTGCTAGGTGCTGGGAACCAGGGGAGATTGAGACAGATGTCCCTGCTATCACAAGGGTCCCTGGAGAGACAGCCACATGCCTATAGATCTGTGAACCCTAGTGGTCAGAGGTGTGATGTGGGGAATTCAGGGTGGGCAGGACAAAGGGGTGGAAACCTGAGGTGGGCCATGGCGAGGCAGGGGCACAGTGACACTTGGGAGAAATCACTGCTTATCTGGCCATGGAGTTGCCTCCTCCTTGATCCCCAACTCCAGCCTCCCTGACCCACACCCGCCTCACCCCACCCAGCAGCCTAAGGCACCAGTGAACCTCTGAATCAGGTCCCTGTCCCATGGCTTCCACCTGCCCTTCAGGGTGAAGCCAGGTCCTCTTGGAGCCCAAAGGACCTCTGTGTGAAGATTGTGGCAGAGAAGGAACCCAGAAAGAGACCTGAAGGGGCCCCAGGGCTTCAGTGTAAGACAGGCGAACAGGAGCTGGCAGAAGACAGGTGTGACCCAGGAATGAGTGGCGTGAGGAACCAGTACAGTTCTGGGAGGGGGACAGTCCAGCCTGGTGAGTGGCAGCCAGGAAAGCCGGCATCAGAGGACAGAGAAGTGACAAGGGATGGGTGAGGGAGCCCAGAACCTGAATCAAAGGGCAGAGGTCCATTGGCAGGTAGTGGAACTGAATCCAGCTTGCCCGTGCTGCACCTGCTGTGTGACCCTGAGCCAGTCACTCCGCCTCTCTGGGCTAAGTAGGCCAAGTAACAGGATGCATATCTCAGAGGTCTGCTCGGGTCCTGGGCACTGCAGGGTGCCAGGTCCATCCCCAGCCTCCACCCCTCCAGGCCAGGGGCTCCCCCTGACTTGACAGCCACGATGTCCTCAGACATCCCCCAGTGTCCCACACAGGGGCATGTACACCAGGATGATGTGACGATTTCCCAGACACCTGGGACAGGTAGGTTGGAGGCAGAGCAGGAAAACGGATCTGCTGGCTCTGGCCTCGGGTATCAGGGTTCCTGGACTTTTCCTTCTCCATCCCGGAGCACTTGGCCACGGCCACCTCTCAAAGCCTGAGGCAGGGTGCCGTGGACACTGCTGCCACCCCAGTTCTCCCTGGCTCCCTCCAGCCCTTCCTTCCCATGCCCACCAGTCGCCAGAGGCCATGTGCTGACCAGCAGCAAGCAGATGGCATTGCCCCTGCTCAGAAGACCCCACGGACCTCACTCAGCATGACGTGCCAATGGTGGCCAGGCATGGTGGCACACATCTGTCATCCCAGCACGGGGGAGGCTGAGGCAGGAGAATCACCATGAGTTCAAGGACAGTCTCGACTACAATAGTGAGATCATATCTCAGGAAAAAAAAGTGATTGGAGGAAAATTAAAAAGAATAATTTGTTACCTGCAAAAAAATGATATAGAATAAGTGCTTCCCTGGCAAGCGCAGGGCCCTGAGTTCAATCCTCGGTTCAAAAAAAAAAGATATCAAATTCAACTTCCAGCAGTCACCAGTGAGCGTGGTACTGGGAACTAAACCAGGGCTTTGCACTGAGCTCTATCCCCAGCCCTTCTTAATTTTTATTTTGAAACAGGGTCCCACCCAGAGCCCAGGAAACCCAAGGTCAGATGGGAACCAGGACCAAGGTCCTGGCGGTCAACACAATAGCGCCACCTAGCGGCAGTTCGCAAAGGTGCGACACGGCGGGGACCGCACACCGGGCAGATGCGGGCACCGCCAGCACCGGAGCGCGGGTCCCAGGGACACCAGCAGGACGCGCCGCAGTCACGGTGTTTGCTTTCTTCCCTCGGGGCTGCTGCACAAAAGCTTGAACCTGATTCTGCTGCCTGCTGCGAAACCGGAGAAGGGCCGGCCAGGGAGGGGGGTTGGTGGCCAGGTGCCCGCGGGCGAGGACAGAGACCAGGTGTCCTGCGGCCCTGCCGCTGCGGAACACCGTCTCATCACATTCGCCAGTTAAGACCTCATACTACCTTTTATTTTATTTTTTAGCTTTTTTTTTTTTTTCCTGCCAGTACTGAGGATGGGAGGAACTCAGGGCCTTCACGATGAGCTATATTCTCTGGCCTTTCAATTTTTTTATTTTATGCTAAGTCTCTAAGTTGTCCAGATTGGGACTGAACTGGAGACTCTCCTGCTTCAGCCTCCCAGGGTGCTGAGATGACAGGCACACACGAGCCACCGCACCCCTAACTCTGCCTTTAGTCAATGCAGTGTCCCATCTCCACTCTGAGCCCAAGTCTGATCCAGTTCTTAGTTACACAGCCACGGAAGAAGCCAGGTGTCTCACTCCCTGGCTGTGTGACTTTGGATGACTTCCTTAACCTCTACGGCCTGCCCTCTACAAGGAGGATAATGGAAGCTCTGACAGTAATGCATTTGTGAGGATTCAAGTGAAAAAAGGAGCTGGGGTTGGTGGAGAGAGAGGTGGAAAGAGGCAGAGAGACAGAGAACTGTGGGTGGGGCGTAGCCCCGTGGTAATGGAAGAGAAAGCCTGAGAGGCAGTCTCACAAGGGCACTGTGACCCTGGTGGGGACACTGGGGCCCTGGTCTCGTGGCTGGAACCAGAAGCAGCTGAGGGCAGCCAGGGCAGCCGGGAGGAAAGGAGGCTGGGTGGGAGAAGCTGAAGGGGACGACTTGGACTCGCGGTTCTGGGGAGCCGCTGAAGATCCCGGAGGACGGGTTGCAGGAGATGAGTCCAGGGAGTGGTGGGGACAAGTGGGTCCTCAGCCAGATCCCAGAGACTGGCGCATTGGGCATCGGGTGTGACACTCACCTCTGGCTTCTTAAATCTAGCGCGAAGGGTCTTCATAGCCAGTGCCTAGCCACCTGGAAAGGAAGGGGCAGAGCGCGTGAGGGACCCGCCCTGAGGAGCGCGGACGCTCCTGCCAAGAACCACTGCCTCCTCCTGGGCAGCCAGGGCTCCCAGGACAGACACCGCTTGCTCCCTCTGTCACCAAAGGTCCCTGCTGCTGTGTGTCCCAGAAAGCCACTCGCCTTCTCTCTCACTCTCCTGGCCTACAAGGGAAGATTTTATTGGTAGAGTCATTTCTGCCAAGGCCTTTTATTTTTTCCTCCAGTGATCTCCTATTCATGGTCTACAGCCCGGGTTCAAAATGCCATGCTCTGGGCTGGAGAGATGGCTCAGTGGTCTAAAGCACCTACTTGGAACAAGCTTGGCAAAGCACAGGGACCGCGGTTCGATCCCCCAGCACCACATGCCAGCCAGCCCCGCCCCCTGGTGGGCTGAGCTGGCCACACACATACACACATACACACAATAAATGTAATAAATAAAAATAAATAAATATTTAATAAAACAAAATGCCATGCTCTGATCAACTGTGCTTCAGCAGTCAGGGGCTCCTTAGGGCCTGGACGCAGGGCTGAGGCCTCTGCACGGAGTGCATGTCAGCTCCTCAGACAGCAGGCCCTTGCAGCTAAGTGCTGGGCTGGCCCCTGTGGGTGGCAGCAGTGTTCCCGCGGCAGGTGCAGCCTGGCTGATGGCCATGTGTGTGCGCGCATGCGCCCCCCCATGCATGTGCAAATGCGACTGTCATGCTGCTCACTGCGTGCATGGTGTCTGGGCTGCACGGGGTCTCCTTGAGGTCCTCGCCTGCCTCCCACAGGGGCTGGGTGGGGGGATCTTTTCCTGCTGGGGATGCCCCAACTCTTCAGGCCACCTGCTGCTCACCTGGGAACCCTTTGCCCACCTGTCAGCCAGACCTCCACCCACCTGCCGCTGCCAAATGACTGCACCACCAGATGACGGTTCTTTGGTTCTTCATCACCTTCAACCACACTTCCCCATCACCTCATCCACCACTGTAACACCCTCAATCCGCCCACCCACCCCAACCTGGCATCCACCCATTCTGCACTCAGTCACCCACTATCCATCCACCCACCCACTTCTCCACCCATTCGCCCCCCAACCCACAACCCATCCAGCCACCATCATCCCTCTGCTTGTTCATCTGCCAGCCCATTTTCCCATCGGCCACTCATCCATCCACTTACCTAAGCTGCCCAATCACCCACTCACCTACACAGCCCATCCGAATGTCTGTCTATCCACCCCCGCAACACTCATGCAAACATCTGCCCATCTGTCTGTCCACCCAGCTACACACCTGTGCACCCACCAACTGTCCATCCATCCACCCAACCACCCCTCTACCACCCAACGTATCCATTCACTCACCAGCCACCTGGCCCTTTTCCTCTGTCCCTGACTAAGGAAACCTCAGTCACACCTTGAGCAGGTGTGAGAAGACACTGCACAGCAGCCTTTGGTGGCCTGGGCAGGAGGGCACGGCGACCTGGGGAACTGCTTCCTGGGAGATGTGGTGCTGGCTGCGCAGGGCCTGAAGGCAGGTGGGGTGCTGAGCAATGGCGGGGGACAGAGACACATCCTGCAGAGCCCTGAGGCTGGGGAGCAGGCGGGGTGCGCGTGAGTCGGGTCAGTTTCCCAGCCCACCTCCGCTCCGCCCCCTACACGAGGACTCCTGGCCCACGGAGCCTCCACCTGGGACCCACATCGGCTTCACTTCCTCTCCTACCTCCCCGCCCCAGCGCCTAGCCCCCGTCTCCAGCCCAGGCGGCTCCGGTTACCCACTCCCACTGGGCCGCACTCGCACCAGCAGCTCCCAGGGCGCAGCTGTGACACCCGATCGCCCAGGGGGCCAGGGACAGCGAGGGAGGAGACAGCTGGCAGCAGGGCTGCTGCTGGCCCTGGGCTCAGGTGGGAAGACACCCAGTCTCTGCCCTGCCGTCGATGCACTTATCTAAGCTTCTGGAATGAGCCCTCCCGAACCCCAACCTGTGCACTGGCAGTGTCCTCTCCCAGGAGCGCGTTTTCTGTACCGCGTCAACGGGAGCCCGCTCCTCCTTCTATCTTTTCTTTTCTTTCTTTTTTTGTACTGAGAGTCGAACTCAGGGCCTCCCTGGGCAGTGCGGTGCTGCCGAGCATCACCCCCGGGCCCTCCTTCCTCCACCTAACTCCTGAGCTGTCTTCAGCTCTGTGCTCCACGTCCCTCTCCCAGGAGCCTTCCTGCACGTCCCCAGCTGGGTCCGGAGCCTCCTCCGAGCTCCTCATGGCCCTGTGCCCGCTGTGTCTCCCACCTCACCCCTAACCCCCGTGTCACCACGGCCTGGTCACACACGGTAAGCTGCAGAGATAAGGATGGTGCTGGTTTTTGCTGCTTTGACATCAGGCAAGAGCTCAACACTGGTCTCTTAACCGGGTCTTCAAGGCCACCAGCATCAATGACCTTAATCAGCTTCTCTGTCCTCTAGGGGCAGCATGGCCGGACCTACGAGACGCAGCCTGCGCCGCACTCATCCAGAGCCCTCTTTTGCACCAGGGTCCTTGGTCTCCACTGAGTGAGACTGCCTCCTTCCTAATGAATAAAAAGTGAAAAGAGCCATTGATTAATTGTTCCCCTCATTTTAGAGGTGACTGGAAAACCTCTCTCGTGGGAGTCTCTTTCGTCCCGCCCGAGTCATCGGGTACTCCCTTGTAGCAATTGGAAACTTATTCAAGTAGGCTTCTCTGTTCCAGTACTTAAGATGGCGCCGACAGCGTCACCAGAAGGCGCATGCGTCGTAGAGAAAGCGGCAGGGCGCACCGGACGGGAATATGGCTCCTCCTCCCTTCCCCGTCCCACCCCACTTCCGGCGGAACCAGCCTCAACAAGGGAAACTTTATTGTTCTCATTAAGACAGCGACTATGTCGGTGAACTACGCAGCGGGGCTGTCGCCCTATGCAGATAAGGGCAAGTGTGGCCTCCCCGAGGTGAGTACGGCGGGGGATCCCCGAAGATCGCCTCCATGCCCACGGGCTGGGCAGAGCTGAGGACAGGTACCAGGGCATTGTGGGAATATCTGCAGGCACTTGAGCTGGACAATGGGAAGGACTCCCCAGGGAGCAGGGGGCGACATCCCCTGGGCGCCCTGCACGGGGCTTGCACAGCTTTGGGTCACCTGACTGGGGCCGCTGGAGGGACCCGAGCCTGGGATGGGCGGATGGGCTGATGGGGAGGAGAAAGGCATAACTCCAGGACAGGACTCAGATGCCAGACCCAGGACAGGATGTGGCAGGAAAGGCCTTCCAACCACTGGGACAGTGACGAGGAACCTTTTAAAGCTTTCAGTGATAGCAAACAGCGGGCTGCGGCACAGAGGTTCACCACTACTGAACTAGCAGAAGTGCAGGAAGACTGTCCCCTCCTCACAGTGGGGCCTGGAGCAAGTCACCTCCTTCCTAGGTCTCCGCCTCCCATCTGTGAGGTAATGAAGGGACCCAAGGGCTGGTCCCTTCATTCTAAGGTTCCTGTACGACAGCTCTGATGGTGTCACACCTTCCAGGAACTGCTCTTCCTGCAACTGTAGTTCACTTTATTCCACAAACATTTCTTGAGCAATTACCTAAGTGTAGAGGTGCAGGCGGCAAAGCAGGCTAAATCCCTGTTCAGTGGAGATAGACAAGAGGCGCGTGGAAACCAAGTGACTGGGGAGGCATCAGTGTAGCGACATTTGAGCCAAAATCTAAAGGATTTTACCTTTTTTTTAAAATTATTTTTTATGGAACCGGGGATTGAACTCAGGCCCTTGCGCTTGCCAGGGAAGTGCTTATTCCATTGAGCCATCTCCCCAGCCCCGCCAAAATCTAAAGGAGAAGAAAAGGAGAGCTGTGGCCAGGTCTGGGGAAGGAACATTCCAGATGGAGAGCATGCCCTGTGCAAAAGCTCTGGGGCAGCCGGAAGCCCAGAGTGGTGCAGGAGCAGTGAAGAGCCTGTGTGGCTGGAGCAGAAGTGAGGGCAGAGCCAGCAGGGGAGGTGGGAGGGGACAGGGGTCATACAGGTCCCACCAGGCTGCAGGGAGGACTTGGGCTTCAGTCTGAGGGAGTTGGGAGCCATGGAGGGCAGAGGAAGGCTATGAGGACAGGCTGCCTCCGTTCTCCTCCCCGGGTAATGTGAAGACAGGTCAGGCTGTGGCCCATGCCCTGGCCACCTGAGAGACACATTTGGACCCCTCCATTCCTGTCTCCCACCAGATCTTTGACCCCCCAGAGGAGCTGGATCAGAAGGTGTGGGAGCTGGCCAGGCTGGTCTGGCAGTCATCCAATGTGGTGTTCCACACAGGTGCTGGCATCAGTACTGCCTCAGGCATCCCGGACTTCAGGTCTGTGAGCATGAAGGGGAAACTGAGGTGGGCCCACCACCCTGCCAGGTGCTTCCCTGGAGCAGCAGAGTTCATTCCACTGCCTTTCTTCTGTCTGAATCCCTGGTACTAGGGATGGGTTAGACCCATCCATGAAGTTACAGCCAAGATTCCACTTCCCTCATTCACCAGAACCTGGTTACCTGGTCTGAATTTAGCTCCAAGGGATGTTGAGAAAAGATGGCCTGATCTTACCTAGTAAAAAGGATGTTGAGAAAACATGGTCACCTGATCTTACCTAGCTGCAAGGCATTCTGGGAAATTTAGTCTTTAGACAGTCTGGCCACTTACTTCCCTTTTATCACCATAGGGAAACTCAAAATTAGGAGCAGTTAATTTCATGCACACCTACAAATATTCTCTTATTAGGAGTTGGTGCCAGGCACGTGGCTTTAACTTTGGGAACTATTTTCACCCCAAATGAGGGTGTGAGACTGACTGAAATACCCACTGCATCCAGCAGCCTGTGTTAGGAATTGTTGGTAAAAGGCAAGGGTCATGCCAGGTGTGGTAGCACACCCCTGTAATCCCAGCACCCGGGAGGCTGAGGCAGGAGGACTGCCACGAGTTCCAGGACAGCCTAGACTATATACTGAGATCTTGTCTTGAACTACCAGAAATGAAAAGAAAAAAAAACACCAAGAAGCAGCTCAATCTGGTGGCTCACCCTGCTAGGTGCTGCGCCACCCCTGGCAGAACAGCGGTAAATTGCATTTATTTCTTTTTCTCCGGCCTATGTGGTCCTGCCCAGAGTTCCACAGCAGGAGAGCAGATTCCTTTTTCTTGAAGGCATGTTAAACCTCTGAGGCATGAATGCTTTCCTCCCCACAACCTGCTGTGGCTCCCTACTGCCGCTCTAGAATTCTGAAGCCAGGTTTAAAGTTGAAGCCCTTTCTGACCCAGCCCTGAGCCCCCTCTCCACTCTCAGCCTCTGCAGTTTTTGCTGTGACCCCCAAATCACACATTTCCCAGACTCAGACCGGGCCCCAGGCCCTTGTCTCTCCCTATGGACTGCCTTTTCATCCCCCTTACACTGCCTCTTCCAGGTAGGCTTCCCACCTGCCCCAGCCAGGGCTCTCAGCCGCCCCGGAGCCCCCAGCTCCTGGTCCGTTCTGGGGCCTGACTGTCCAAGGCTGCAGGGCTGGGTCTCCTTGTCCCCTGCACAAAATTGAGCCTACTTGGAGAGCAGAGGTTTGGGTCCACCCAGGCCCAGCATGCTGGATGTCGTGGCGCACTCCTGTAATCCCAGCACTGAGGAAGCTGAGGCAGGAGGATCCATAGGAGTTCCAAACCAGCCTGAAATACGTAGTGAGACCCTGTCTCAAAAATCCAAAACCAAAACAAGACCTCAGTATCATGTAGCCCGGAATCAGGCTCAGTGCAGCAGCAGTAGCCAAGTGTTCGCTAAAAAAAATAATTAAATATTGCTCACCCATGCTTTCTCTCCCTTTCCCTCTTCCCATCTCTTGGTAATTCTGCCAATTCTGTCTTGCTTTCTCTTTCGCTTTCTCCATCTCTCTGCACCTCCCTATTTTTGTCTCTGGTCCTACCTCTGCCTCCTCTCCTTTTGTCTCCGTGTCTGTTTCTCTCTGCTTCTGACCCTCCACACCCCTCTCTCCCTGCCTCCGCCTCCACCTCCGGCCATCGGCCATCAGGGGCCCGCATGGCGTGTGGACCATGGAGGAGCGGGGCCTGGCGCCCAAGTTCGACACGACCTTCGAGAGCGCGCGGCCCACGTGCACGCACATGGCGCTGGTGCAGCTGGAGCGCGTGGGGCTGCTGCGCTTCCTCGTGAGCCAGAATGTGGACGGCCTGCACGTGCGCTCCGGCTTCCCCAGGTACCGCGCCCAGCACCAGCCCCCCCTCCCCCCCTTCCAGGGTGCCCGGATGGGGCGGAGCATCCTGGGCTGGAGGCAGATGGTGCGGGGAAGACCCGGGGGCTGCCAGGCGGGTTGTGGAGTTTACAGCTTGTTTCATTATTGTTCCGCACTGGGTGGAACCCAGGGCCTGCCCACTGAGCTCCATCGCCAACCTTTTTAAAAAATTTTTAAGACATGGTCTTGCTGAGTTTTCAGGCTGGGCTCGAATATGGGATCTCCCTGCCTCAGGCCTCAGCCTTCCGGGGAGCTGGGATAATGACAGCCCGTGCCACCAACAGTGGCACATTTGGGACTTTTTAGCATCCATCTTTATTGATTTTGTATTTTGATTGTTACTGGGGAACAGGTGTGATTTCTTTTCCCCCAGTGCGGGGGCTGGAAGCTGGGCCTCGTGCAGGCTAAGAGGCGCTCACCACCGAGCTACACCCTGTCTCTTGTTTCTTTCTGTTAAGAAGACCCTGAGTCTAGCTCCACGCCTTAGGCACGTAAATAGTTTCTCCAAGAACTGATAACTCTGGATGTTGTAGGTTGTTTTTTTGGGTTTTTTTTTTAATGTATTTGGTGCAGGGTCTCACTACACAGCTCAGAATCATAGTGATCCTCCTGTCTCAGCCTCCTCAGTGCTGGGATTACAGGCGAGTGCCACCACGCCTGGTCTCAGTGGCCCGCTCAGCATGCGCTGAGGGGCACGGCCGGTGCAGCATGTAGTGCGAGGGATCGAACCCTGGTCCTTCCACTTGCCTAAGCAGGCGCTTAGTCTGCTGAGCTATCTTGCCAGCCCGATGTTGCGGTTTTTAAAGTTTCCACCTGTCAGTTTCTGAGCAGAATGATCTGGCTCCAGGAGCCTCAGGTTAGGGAGAGCCCTCAGGTTATGGTCAGACCCCTGTCTGACCATCCAGGGGTCAGACAGCTTCTTACCCTTTTGAGTCACAGTGATTAACTAGACAGATAGCTACAGGGTGACAGGTGTGTCCCCCGCAACACCAGGCTTGGGATGAGGGCCTTGGGCAGGGTCGTGAAGAACACCGGGGACCTAGGTCACATCCCCCATGTGCATCCAATCCCAGTATAAACCAGAGTGGGACAGGACATACTCTGCTTATTGGGCACCTGCTGCATACCATACCTTGCCCTGAAGATTTGGGAATTTGAGTTTCTGTCTTCCAACCTAGCCGTATTAGGTTGCCTTACTCATACGGGGTGGGCTGCATTTTGTGAAGGCAGTGGGTGCCTGTGAGCAGAGGTGGGTTCGGTTGTGTGGTTGATGATCCCTCAGGCTCAGAGAGGTAGGGCTCCCTGCCCAGTGGAGCACAGCACACAGATGGGGCATCGGAGCTGGGAGAGCAGAGAGGGCATCGTTGGGCTCTGGATGAGGGGCTGGGGTTTCGTGGGGTGTCCCTGAGGAGGAGGGTGTCCTTCCCACCACTCAGCCACTTCCTGCCTGCCCCCCAGGGACAAACTGGCAGAGCTGCATGGGAACATGTTCATAGAAGAATGTGCCAAGTGTAAGACGTGAGTGTCGCGTGGCGGGAGGTCTGTCGCTCTCCAGGGGAACCTGCACAGGCCTGACAGTGACCCTGAGGCCCAGGGCGGTGAGGAGCAAGACCCAGGGAGGGGGCAGAGTCAGGGCTGTTTCCTGGGGCTGCAGAAGCAGCTGACCGAAGACTGGGGGCTTCAGTTCACAGAAATGACGTCTCCTGGGCCCGCAGGCCAAGGCATGGTGCCTGTAGGGCAGGGCGGGCCCTCAGAAACTTTTCTGGGGGCCTTCCTACCTTGCTGGTCCTGGTGGTGACCACAGACCTGGCCTTAAATCACTAAGTTGCCCCTGTTGGGCTAGAACTGGCGATCCTCCTGCCTCAGCCTTCTACCATGCTGGGATCCTAGGCATGCACCGCTGCCCCTGGCTGTCTCTCCTTTCTTAGAAGGATGCCAGGCAGGTGCCCTCAGCCAGTGGAGCCTGCAGAAGGCATCTGAGGACTGTATCCTCAGCTCATGCTGAACCTAAGCCGGGGACCCTAGGCTCTGCTGTGACCGCTTCTCAGTGCCATCGGGGTGAGGAGACAACCTGGACCACGACCAGGGCCCAGTGTCAATAAAACTGTGGGCAGAACACAGGACTGAGAGCCAGATGTGACTACAGAGCCACAGGTGCCCTCCTCCTCCCTGTAATTAAGGCCACTTAAGGGCACATCACACTGTGGGTGCAGTGGCACACACCTGTCATCCTTGCTACTTGGGACGCTGAGGCAGGAGGATTTCAAGTCTGAGCCCAGCCTGGGCAACTTAGTCAGACCCTGTGTAAAACACAAAAGGCCCTGGTTCCATCTCCAACACCACCGAAAGAGGCATCCACACAAGGCTACAGGCTGGGCTCATCGGCCGTCTCCTCCTCCCTGATACAGGCAGTATGTCCGGGACACAGTTGTGGGCACCATGGGCCTCAAGGCCACCGGCCGGTTCTGCACAGTGGCCAAGGCACGGGGACTGCGGGCTTGCCGGTAAGTGACTGTGTCCAAGGCCCAGGCGCCCATGGGGCAAAGGGCCCACTGACCCTCAGCTTTCCTCTGCAGGGGGGAGCTGAGAGACACCATCCTGGACTGGGAAGACTCTCTGCCCGAGCGGGACCTCGCTCTTGCTGATGAGGCCAGCAGGTCTGAGGTCCCTGCTTGCTGGGGGTGGAGGACGGGACAGGGACAGGCAGAAGCAAGCTGGTCAGCATGCAGGGCTGGGACTGGGCTTGGAGCTTGGGTCAGAATGGCTTCCTAACTCAGCCTGTACACGTGGTTGTCATCCCAGCACTCTGGGAGGCTGATGCAGGAGGATGCCAAGTTCAAGCCCTGCCTGGACAATTTAGTGAGACCCTGTCTCAAAAAACAAAAGAGGGCTGGTGATGTAACTCGGTGGAAGGCCCTGGCTTCAACCCCCAGCTCTATCAAAAAATTAATGAGAAGGGGGTTGAGGGATGCAGGAGCAGGAGAAGGCCAGGGATTTGGTGCAGCGCCTGCCTGGCGAGTTTGATTCCCAGTACCAAAAAAAAGAAAAAAAGAAAGGCAGGTAGCTTCCCTCAGCAGGGACTTCCCAGCCTCCATCCTTCCTTCTGGCCCTGGCAGGCGTTGAGTTTTCTGCGCAGACCCCACACACAGTCTCCTGCCCAGTGGTGCTGGCCAGGGTCCACCATTCCCCACAGGCCCTGGAGGGGAGGGGCAGGGGCAACACCCAGGCCTTGGCTGGACCCCAGAGCCACCTTTGAGTGCTGACAGGCGGAGCCAGCAGGGTCTCAGCACTTAAGCCCACATCCTTGTCCCTGTCCCCAGGAACGCAGACCTGTCCATCACCCTGGGCACCTCTCTGCAGATTCGGCCTAGTGGGAACCTGCCCCTGGCCACCAAGCGCCGAGGCGGCCGCCTGGTCATCGTGAACCTGCAGCCCACCAAGCATGTAGGTGCTGCCACCCTGTTCTGCCTGGTGTCCCCACGCCCCATGCGCACCCCGCCCTGACCCTCCCATTCCACAGGACCGCCAGGCCGACCTGCGCATCCACGGCTATGTGGACGATGTGATGGCGAGGCTCATGCGACATCTGGGACTCGGCATCCCCACCTGGCATGGGCCCCGTGTGCTGGAGCGGGCACTGCCTCTGCTGCCCCGGCCACCCGCACCCCAGCTCAAGCCCAAAGAGGACAGTGAAGAGAAGTCCACAGCCTGCCTCAATGGCTCTGTGCCTCCCCAGCCCAAGCCCGAGCCTTGCACCCCCAAAATGGAGCGGCCTGACAGCCCGGGCCCTCACCAGCCTTCCAAAAGGCTGAAAGCCGAGGCGGTGCCCAGCTGACCAGCAGACCTGGGAGGGCAGGACATTTTCTAGGAACTGCATATTTTGTCCTGGTGTCTCTGGTACTGGATTTGTGCCTGGGGCTCTCAGGATGCTGAGCTGGGTGTTCTTACCCTCTGTGGCTCTGGGTTAGCCTGTGGGGTGCAGGAAACGGCCACCCCCAAAGCTGCCAGCCCAGATGTCTGCTGCCCCACTGGCCCTGGCCTCTGACTGAGGATGCTGGGAGCAGTAGCCGGACCCTCCGGGTTTCTAGCCCACGCAGGAATCTGTTCCCTGTGTCCTCCAGGACCCATCCCTCAACTCTGATCTCCAAACCACTCACGGACCCTCCAGCAGGGAAGCACAGGGCCCTTGCCCACCCTCCTGCAGGCCTCCAGGAAGCCTCTGGCAATAAAAGCAGAGCTCCTGTCTTGCATCTGAGTGTGCTTAGGTTCCCTGTGTGGCCAGGCTGGGTGGTGCACACCCATCCACCTGGCTGCTCTGGAGGCTGATGCAGGAGAATGGCAGGTTCAAGATCAGCCTGGGGAACTTAGCAAGACCGTCTTAATAAAAAATAGAATGTTGGCGCATGCCTGTATTCCCAGCACTGGGGAGGCTGAGGCAGGAGCATCATGAGTTTGAGACCTGCCTGGACTACAAAGTGAGCTCAGGGCCAGCCTGAACTGCATAGCGAGACCCTGTCTGAAAAAAAATAATAATAATAAGTAAATAGGGGCCGGGGAGATGGCTCAGAATAAGGGCTTGCCTGGCAAGCACAAGGGCCTGAGTTCTATCCCCAGTTCTGCAAAAAAAAAAAATAAAATAATAAAATAAAAATTTTAAAAAAGGGCTGGAGAGCCAGTTTGATAGCTCAGCGGACTAAAGCATGTGCTTAGGCAGAGCGCAGTGGCCGTGGTTCAATCCCTGGCACGCTGTGGAGACTTAGACTGGGTATGGTAGTGTGTGCCTGTAATCCCAGAGCTTGGGAGGCCGAAAACAGGAGAATCGCTGCAAGTCCAATCTATGTAGTAAGACCCTATAGACCCTGTTCTAAATATAGAAATAATAAAAAGGGCTAGGAATGGAGCTCAGCTTGAAGGCCCTGGGTTCCACGCTTAGTATGAAAAAAAAAAAAAATCTGCCATCTATTCCCAGGATCTGCACCCTTTTACAGAAAGGCCTCCTTGTGCAGCACCCCACAAACTGCAGGTACCTACAGCAGACGCTCCACCACAGCCCTGTGCCTAGCCCAGATGTGCGCTTGGGTTCCTATAGTGCTGCCTCAGTTTCCTCACCCGTTATGTGGTGCCTCTGCTTTATGGGCTCCCTGGGTCCACCCACAGCCTCCCTAGCCCAGCCTGGGCCCTCCTTGGGGGGACGTGGGGACCCTAAATTCCTCTTTACTCCACCTCAGACCAGCCATGTTTTGTCAAAATACTTTATTCAAGCTTACAAAGTCTTAGAAAAAGGGGGTGCTCATGGCAGTGGCCACACCAATGTCCAGAGGTTCTTGGGGTGCTGGGGAACCAGGAAGCCCCGGGGGGGCATGAGGGGCCTTCCTGGGGGTGCTTGTCAGACTTCATCTTCTGAGGTCTGTTTTCAGAGGCCACCAGTCCTGAGTGCAGTCGTGAACCTGAGGGTCCCTGGGGACTCTCGGGCCTTATGCATCCTGGGCTGCTGCTGTCCACGGCAGGGCCCATGGGTGCTCATAGCTCCTCACCTGCCACCTCCAGCCCCGTGAACCCGGGACTCAGCACCCAGGCTGGAGCCACCCAGCTCAGCACAGTGGCCCAGCCCAGCTCCCCTGTGGCGTTGCTCAGGGCCAGGCTCGAGTTGTCCAGCTCCTCCTTAGCACTGCCCAGCTCCGGCTTCTCCAGGAAGGCCCCCCAGTCTGCGCCCAGGCTGCTTGGGGACCCTTGCTGCAATGTGGTGTCTGGCTGGGAGCCTGGGCTGTCGGGACCTGAGGCAAGGTCCCCAGGGGCCACACGCAAAGCTGCGTCATTGTGCAGTGTCCTGGAGAAAACTGAGTGGAGTTTGGGGGTCAGGAGGGATGTGGTGAGGACTGGAGTCCTGTCCTCTTTACCCCATCCCTGGCACGCTCAGGAACCACTTTCCCAGGAGCCTCCTGCGCCCCAGGGACTGAGGATGCGGAGGTTTGTTTTGTTTAAAACTGAAGGGACCCAAGGCCTCTGTGCTGAGCTACAGCCCCTGCTGTTATTTATCGAGTCAGGCTCTTGCTAAGTTGCCCAAGCAGGGCTTCAACTTGGGATCCTCCTGCCTCAGCCTCCCGCAGTGCTGGGTGACAGGCACGCTCCCGGCTCCAGGTGAAGACCACCTACCCCGGACTGGTACGAAGTCCCCAGGGCTCTCGGCCTTGTTGAAGGCAAAGGGGCTAATGGAGGGGAGGATGATGAGGGCAAATGACAGCAGCAGCACCTGTGGAGGAAGGGCCAGGTCACACCCCTCCCCCGCAACTTGCTCATCACCCAGGAGGGACACTGAGGCACGGGCCAGAGGATCAAGCTTGCACCAAATCCAAAGGCTGCTCCCCTCCTGTGGCATCGCCACACCTCCTTTGCTGGACCAGAACCCCCACTGTGCCGGGCAGGACTCACGGCAATGCAGGTCCCCGTCTGGGCAGACTTGCTGGTGGACTGCACCACGAGGGCCTGCAGCTTCTTCAGCTGCTCCACGAGGGACCTCGGAGGAAGGAGAGGCCGAGGCTCTCACTGTATAGCCCAGGCTGGCCTCAAATTCACAGTGATCCTCCTGCCTCAGCCTCCTGAGTGCTGGGATGGTGTGTGCGCCGCCACACCTGGCCAGGGCCTTCCATCCTAATGGGGACCGGAGTCCTCCCTGTAGCCTGCGGGGCGCCACGTGGCCACCGGGTCCCTCTCCACCGCTCCTCCCCCCCTGCAGCAACCACACGCCTGCTCCTACTGCACCCCAGGGCCTTGGCCCAGCTGTGTCCTCTGTGCTCCCCTAGATAGTGCTGCAGCTGGTTCTTTCTCACCCTTTGGGCCCGTCCTCCCGGAGAACATCACCTCCCCAGCAAAGCCTCAGGGCTTCCATGGCTGCAGTAGCCCTTCCCTGGCCCTCTAACACTTGACCCCATTTGGTTTCACTCCCAAGAAAAAGTATTGTGTCGGGTTTTGCGCCTGGTGAGCGTGTCACTCCTGGGCGGAATCCTCCCAGTGGAGAGTTTTTCTGCTGCCCTGACCCTTGTTGGGGTCCCCTGGTCCAGAACTTCGCTGAGTACACAGCAGAGGCTAGATTCATGTGGACTGAACAGACGCCCCTCTTCTGTCATTGTGACAGAATGAGATGCAGCCTCTGCACTGCTCGCTGCCAGCCTCTCCTGGTGCACATACGGTCTCCATCACCTTCTCCCCAGTGAACTCTTACTTACCCATCAAAGCCCTTAGTCTAAAACCCCTCCTCTCTCAGCCTGCCTCCTTTAGAGACAGGCCCCTTTTCCCTCCTTTCTTCTGCCGCCTCACGACTCTCTGCTGTCACCTCGCTCTCCCGCAGGCTGCCAGGGCTGCTGCCCCACCCCCCTGTGGCCCTGGGGGGCACACTCACAGGTTCTGCTTCTCCAGGTGCAGGACCTTCCTCTGCAGCTCCTGGTTCTGGGCAGTACAGGCTGACATCCTGCAGGGAGTGACACTCAGAGTGTACCTGCCACCCTGTAGGCCCACTGACAGGTCCCCAGGAGGCCCACTTTACAACCTGAGGCCCCAAGGGCAGAGACAGGAAGGCACTTTTCAAAAGCTACCCAGCAAGGCTGCAACAGAGCCAGTGGGATTTTTATTTTTATTTATTTATTTATTTATTTATTTTTGTGGAACTAGGGATTGAACTCAGGCCCTTGCCAGGCAAGCGCTTATTCTACTGAGCCATCTCCCCAGCCCCCACCAATGTTTTTTGTTTGTTTGTTTTAAGACTAGGTCTTGGGCCAAGGAGATAGCTCAGTAGCATAAGTGCCTCCCTGACAAGCACAGGGTCCTGAGTTCAATCCCCAGTACTACCAAAAAAAAGATTAGGTCTCACTGTGTTGTCACCCAGGCTGGCCCCAGACTCCTGGGCTCAAGCAGGCCTCAGCCTCCTGAGTAGTTGGGATGCAGGTATGTGGCTGTTTAGGGTCAGGACTCAAAGTCAGATCTGTTGGATTCTGGGTTCCACCTCTGTGCTGGGGCAGAGATCATCAAGGTGGAACCCCAAAATTGGGAAAGGGTGCTGAAATCACAGTGATACTTCTGGGAGACTGACTAGGACTCAAAGGAGACCGCGTGCCAGCGCTCCCTCCCTGGGGCTTTGGGCCACTTTTGTTTCTGGTCTCTGTGCCCTCGTCTACAGTGCAGCCAAGTGTGCTGCCATACACCTGCAATCTCAGCACTTGAGAGGCTGAGGCAGGAGGGTCTCAGGTTTGAGCCTGGCCTGTGTAGCTTCACAATTTAGTGAGGCCTGTTTCAAAAACTAGAAATGGTTGGGGGGCGTAGCTCAGGGTTAGAGCCCATGCCTAGTATGCGTAAGGATCTGGGCTTAAGCCATAGTATAGAATATATGTGTGAAAAAAGAAATCAATGAATTTTTTTTTTTTTTTTAATTTTAGGGAAGGGTCTACGGGGTGTTCAGGGTCTCACTATTAGATCGGACTTGTAGTGATCCGCCTGTTTACAGCCTCCCAAGAGCTGGGATTACAGGCATGCACCACCACACCCAATCTCATTTGCTGTCTCAGCATGCCCCAGGGGGGGCGGGGCCAGCAGGGCAGGCCTGGGGATCGAACCCCCCGCCCCTACGCCTGCTTGCAGGCGCTTTAATCCACTGAGCCATTTGGCCGACCCTAGAAATCAATAAATTTTAAAAATACAGTTAGATGGAAAGAAGAGGCAGAAATTCATTATTTAGTAAAAACAAAAAACACACAAGCCCCTGGCAAGACTGAGCAAAAGTACAAGATGGAGAAAGAAGCACAAATAAATGGCATGAGGAATTAAAAGGGAATCAGGGCTGGTGAGATGGCTCAGTGGTCTAAAGCACCTACTTAGAACAAGCTTAGCAAAGCACAGGGACCGCGGTTCAATCCCCCAGCACCACATGCCAGCCAGCCCGCCCCCTGGTGGGCTGAGCTGGCCACACACACACACACACACACACACACACACACATAAATAAAAATTAAAAAAAAAAAGAAAAGGGGAATCACTGGGCTGGCGAGATAACTCAACAGGCTCAGCGCCTGCTTAGGCAAGTGCAGGGCCTGGGGTTCAATCCTTGGCACCACATGCCACGCTGGCATGCCACGCTGGCCCTGCCCCTGGGGGCATGCTGAGATGGCGAGTGAGCCCGGGCATGGTGGTACACACCTGTGATCCCAGCTCTTGGGAGGATCACTACGAGTCTGCTCTACATAGTGAGACCCTGTAGACCCTGTATTAAATACATAAAAAATAAATAAATAGGAATAATTCTAGGCACTGAAGAGATTAGAAATAATAGGGGATAACTAAAAATAATTTTATGTGAGCAAATTTGAACGGACAGCTTCCCAAGCAACTATGATACCCCCAAAACAACAGAAACCCAACAGGCCTGCACCGCCCAATAAAGTCACTCTGAGGTTAAATGTGTGCTTCTTTCTTCTTCGTGTCCTTTTCTCTTGGTCTTCACACTGAGCTATGTCCCCTACCCTGTTTTGGCTTTTCGTGTTAAGAGAGAATCTCGTTAAATTGCCCAAACTGGCCTCCAACCTGAGACTCTCCTGCTTCAGCCTCCCAGAGTGCTGGGCTGACCGGTGGGTGCCACCTGAGCCTGGCTGGCACCACATCTTTACCCATGGCTCAGAGTGTCCCTGACACCTCCCTACATATCTTTGCCTCCCTGATCCTTCTGATCAGTAAGAGAAGAAGGGCAAAGGCTAAATGCCCCGACTTCAGCCACACTGCCTTCCCCTTGAGCCCAGGCTCGCAGCATTACCGGGTCTCCAGGCCATCAATATATTCCTTCTTCTTCTTCCTACTTTCTTGAGCCGATTGTTTGTTGCGGATTTTCCGGCGGATCTTTTTCAGCACGCGTTCCTCATACTGCACAGGGGTCATAGAACAGGGTCAAGTCAGCTAAGGTCCCCAGTCCTTGTTTATTTTTTATTTTGACCTAGGGTCTCTTTAAGTTCCCCAACAACTCAGACTTTCATCTTCCTGCCTAAGCCTCGTGGAAGGCCAGGATGACCCGCCCGCACCTGGCTGGGGGTCCCCCCCCCATCATAGAAAATCAGCAATCGCCACCCTGGTTGGCCTTGGGGCCGCAGCACCACCGTGTGGCCATCTGTAGTCTCTGCACCTTCCGTATAGCCAGCCAGTTAGGACTCATTACTGATTTCAAACCTGACAGCAAAAACAGCCTTAGTGGCGACCACCTGTTAATCCCAGCGCTCGGGGGCCGGGGAGATGGCTCAGTACAATAACCGCTTCCCTGGCAAATACAATGGTCTGAGTTCAATCCCTGGTTCCGAAAAAAAAAAAAAAAATCCCAGCACTTGGGAGGTTGAGGCAGGAAGATCACCTTGAGTTCAAGGCCAGCCTGAGAAATTTAGCTGCTTAGTGACGCCCTGTGCTGTGGGTTCTGGGCTGAATTTAGGGTCCATCTGGCTGATTTTCTGGCTAATCTTAGTGTGCAGGGCTCAAAGTTGACTCCATGGTCAGGTCGAATGGAAAGCCAGGAAAACTGGGGTCCAGGTGTCCCCAATGTACCTTGGTGAGGGGCAACTGGGTGGGCAGGGTGACCCCCTCCTTGGCCAGCAGCTTCTTCTCATCCTCAGTCAGCACCAGCTCCTGGCAGTGGCCGTTCCCAGGTCGCAGGAGGTAGGTGGTGGTCAGGTGCTGCTATTACAGAAAAACCAGGGGAAGGGTCCAGGGATTTAGGCCAGCAGCATAAGCGCCTGCGTGGAAAACGCAAGGCCCTGAGTTTGATTCCAGGTACAAAAAAATAAATAAATCACTAACAGCTAGTTCCTGAGCACCTACTATGTGCTGGGCTACTTCCTAAGCTCCTACTATGTGCTGGGCACCATTATAGGCAGCACAGCTAAGTAAGGAAATGATGGAACAATAGCCAGCAAACAGAGAGCAGGTTGGGTAAGTATGGCTTGTCTATGCCACGGACGCAGGACTGCACAGTGTGGGGAAAGAGGGGCCAAGTGACTCTGTCCTGAGACAGACAATTGCCAAAATGAAGGGTTAGGTTAAGGAATAAAAGAGCAGCCAGATGTGGCAGCGCACACCTGTCATCCCAGGAGGCTGAGGCAGGAAGATTGCTGAGAGTTTGAGACCAGCCTGAGCTACATAGTCAGATGCTGTCTCAAAGAAGAAGAATGAGGAAGGGGAGAAGGAGGAGGAAGAAGAGGAAGAAATAATGAAGAAACAGCTCCATATGGTGGCACAGACCTGTCATTCTAGTACTGTGGGAGGCTGAGGCAGGAGCATGTCAAATTCAAGCCCAGCACGGGCTACTAAGTTTCTGAGGGGGTTTATTGGTACTGGAAGTGGAACTCAGGACCTTGTGTTTGCCAAGCAAGTGCTGTTCCTCTGAGCTACCCACCGGCCACAGCAACTCAGTAACTTAGTGAGATCTTGTGTCAAAGTAAAAAGGCCCACGGATGGAACCCAGTGTGCTCTGCATCCGATCCCCACTACCACAGATGAATAAAGAAACCAGCAGAGACTGTCTTGCGCAAAACATTACTTTGGTTTGTTTGTTTGTTTGTTTGTTTTTGTTAGCTTTTTGAGAGAAACTCTTGCTATGTAGTGGGCTGCCCTTGAACTCACTGTGTAGCCCAGGCTGCCCTTGAACTCACAGCAACCCTCTTGCTGAGTACTGGGATGACAGGTGTGCACCACCACACGCAACGCAACGTGTCTAGTGAAGACAAGAAGATCCCCTATCTTCAGGGTGGCTGTGATTCTAAAAATAATAAAAGCATTTAGACTGGGCATAGTCGAGCACCCCTATAATCCCAGCACTCAGGAGGCTGAGGCAGGAGGATAGCTGTGAGCTCAAGGTCAGCTTGGCCTAACAGTGAGACCCTGTCTCAAACAAAACAAAAACAAGCATGGGCCACCTACCTACAGTGGACAGTGACCTAGACCAAGCGACAGTAATGGACCCAGAACTGGAACCCACTGGCTTCTCTGTCAGCTTTGCTGGTCCCTGTGCCTGTCAGTGACTCGTTCTTATAGTCTCTGCAGCTGTGTTTCTGTGTCCCTGAGCCACCCACTTCGATGCCAGCGCCCAGTTAGGGTGCTCACCGGGTCCCCACTGCCACCGGCCAGCAGGAGCTCTTTCACGGTCAGGTTGAAGCGGGAGGGCGAGCCGGCATGCTGCTCAGGGTAGAGGCCTCCTTCACTCCACATGTCTGCTGGGACAGAAGGGGACAAGATGGGGAGGGGTCAGGCAGGTGGTCACAGCCCAACCTCTCCCCACCAGGCCTGCAAGCGTCCATCATCGCTCTCAGTGCTCCTAGGTCTTCTGCCCAGCCTGGGGTCTCCAGGGCCTGGGTCAAAGGGGACAAGCCTCAGCTTCCCCTCGCTGCAGGACAGAACCCAAATCCATCCTGGCAGGACGCTGGGCCTTGATGTGGTGGCGTGTGCACGCCTGCCATTCTAGCACTCTGGGAGCCTGAGGCAGGAGGATCGCAAGTTGGGTCCCAGCCTGGGCAATGTAGGAACTTAGTGAGATCCTGTCTCAAAATAAAAATAAAATGGGCTGGGGACAGAGCTCAGTGTGAAGGCCCCAGGTTCAGTCTCCAGTAATGAACCAAATAAATAGAATTTTAAGAATATGCCACTAGAGGATTTGCTGCCCGCCCAGAAAGCAGTGGCGAGATCTGCGGCTGTCACGCCGGGATCAGGCCACGCTCATCCCAGCTCTGCAGCGCACAGTGAGCTCGCAGCTTTTTTTTTTTTTTTTTTTTTTTGTGGAACCGGGAATTGAACTCAGACCCTTGTACTTGCTAGGGAAGTGCTTATTCCACTGAGCCATCTCCCCGGCCCGAGCTCGCAGCTTTGAGCACACACACTCAGGCCACGGGGGCCTCAGCTCCAACCCCGACTGGGCAGAGCTGGGTGACCTCGGCTCAGTGGCTTTCAGTCTCTGAGCCTCCGTCTCACCCCCTCTCCACTAAAAAGCCCATAAGAGCCTTTCACCAGACTAAGGGACAAAGGACACCATCAGCCACGTATCTCCACTGGGGCTGTGCCTGGCCCATCACCAGTGTCGATCGATGTCCTCAGAGTAAATCATTATTGATCTGTCATCTGATATGGCCTGTACCCTAGTCTGGAAGAGCAGTTTGAGACCAGGACACCCTGTAATTTCTTACCCTTTTATTTTTTTCTCTTCTGAGGCGCTGGGATAGACCTCAGGGTCTCCACACTCACTCCATCCCCTGCCGTTTTTACATTTTTATTTAGAGGCAGGGTCTTGCTAAGTTGCCCAGGCTGGGCTTGAATTTGAGTACGCCTGCCTCAGCCTCCCCAGTAGCTGAGATGATAGGTGTGACCTGCGTCTTTAGGGTGGACCCCAGAGAGGAATGGGCTCTGGGGCTTCCATCCACTCCAGTGCACTCACCCAGGTCTATGGCCACAGAGGCCTCGGGCACCTGTGTCCTGGGGGGCCTGGCAGGGTCTGAAGGGCCGGGGACGTAGGAGGGACAGCAGGCTTCTGCTGGGTGGCAGCTGGCCGGGCTGGTGCCCGGTGCCCCACCGTGTGGAGGGCTGTCCTGGGGGTCGGAGGGCAGATCGTCAGAGATGCCGCTGTCGCTGGCTGCAGTGGACCAGGTCGGGGAGCTGGAGGCTGAGTCACTGGGGCCCAGGATGGAGCTCAGGAAGTCGTCGGAGTCAGAGCCCGGCAGTGGCTGCTGGGAGGCAGAGGGAGGTGGGGAATGAGGATCGCTGTGTGACCTGGGGTGAGCCATCAGCCCTCTCTGGGCTCGAGTCCTTTCTCAAGCTAGAGCTAAGGCCCTTCTTCGGAGGGTGTTTGGGGCCAGTGTGAAAAAAAAAAACGATAGCAGGGAGCAAGACAACCGGAGCAGAGCAGGAGCCGGAGTACTTAGATTGTGTTTAGACTTGGTTCTAAGTTGCCATGGGCTCGGGATAAGTTGCTGGCTGTCTCTGAGCCCCCATGGCCCCCTCGGGAGGAGTGGACGCCACGCATGCGCTTTGATCCCAGGGTCCAGCAGGCTCACCTGGTCCTCGGTCGCAGGACCCCAACCTTCGGGCAGCTCCACGTGTCGCAGGATGCCGTCCTGCCGGTCAAAAAGAAGGTCCAGGAGCTCCAGGCTGTCAATGGGACCCAGGGTACAGGCGGGCGACGCCATCTGGGGCAAGGAGACTGGTGTGAGGCCCTCAGGCCCCGCCTCTGCAGCTGCAAAACCCTGAGGCAGGAGACCAGGGTTTCTTTTCTTTCTTTTGCTGGATAGAACCCAGGGCCTTCGCATGGAACTATGTCCCCACCAGCCCTTTTCTATTGTTTTGTTCCTAGACAGTCTCACTAAATCACTGCACTGCCCAAGCTGGGTTGAAACCCTTCTGCCTCAGCCTCCCAGAGTGCTGGGATCACAGGCATCCAGCACCACCCCTGAGAGCAAGCTTCATTATAGTAGCTAGAGAGGGGTACCATGAAGCCACCTTCTCCTGCTTGCTCTCTCCTACCTCAGTTTCCCATCTGTACCACAGGGACAAAGCCATCCCCCATGGGTCCCCTGTCTCAAGACTTCCAGCAGGGCTCACCTTGCCGGCTGCTAAATCCCCATTCATGGGCCCAGCAAGCTATGTTTAGAGGCGTCCTGGTTTCCTGCTCAGAGCTGAGGTCCTCTGGGTGGCTGTCCCTCCTCTCTATGCCCAGGCCACCACCCCTAAAGATGCTAAAATAGTGCCCAGGGGAACCCAGTCCAGGCCCAGGTGTTGATTGGTGGACATATTTGATAGACAGGGCGAAGGGCCAGTGACCAGGAACAGGCGGGCAGGGGCGGGAAGACCGTTATCTGGGTGTTTTTTTGCTTTGGCAGCGAAGTGGGCAAAGGCCAAAGTCTGGATGTCTCGGTGCTGACATGACCTGTCCCCTACTTACGGGGACTGTTGCTCTCCAGTGCCACCGGATGTTGGGTTCCACAGAGTCCAGGGTCACCGCCGGGGTCCTGTCTACTCCCAGAACAGGATGACGAAGAAAATATGGCCCCTCTGCCTGGAGCTCCCTTCTGGAGCCCGCACTGGCGGCAGCCTCCTGTTCACGCTCCAGGACCTGCTCAGTTGTCACCCTCACCGTGTCCCCAACGGCCCAACCCCTCAATCAATTTTTTCCCAAAGCATCTATCATTCAGTTAACAAATATTTACTGAACTAAATGATTCCTGCCCCAGGGCCTTTGCACTTGCCAACTCCCCCGCCAGGAACTGCCTTCCTGCCGCAGCTCCACTCTGTGTCCAGATGGTGACAGATTCAGGAATATTGCCTATTCAATGAATCAAAGACAAAGGGGCAGGGGAGACGGCTCAGTGGAATAAGCTTTTCCCTGGCAAGCGCAAGGGCCTGAGTTCAATCCCCGGTTCCGAAAAAAAAAAGTGAATCAAAGACAAAAAAAAAAAGTCCCGGCCAGGGATGTAGCTCAGCCATGCAGCGGCCTGCCTAGCAAACGCAAGGCCCGGAGTTTGATTCCCAGTACCAAAAAGGAAAATAAGACCCAAAAAAAAGACAATTAAGGAGCAACCTCTTCTGTTCCCAACAGAGAAGTTCCTGTCTCCATCACCTTTTTTACTTTATTTTTCCTTTTAAGACACAGTCTCATTATACAGTTCAGACTGGCATTGAGCTCACTTTATAGCCCAGTCTGGTCTCACACTCACAATGATCCTGTCTCAGCCTCCCGAGTGCTGGCATTACAGGCATGTGCCACCATGACCAGTTTCGGGGCCGGGTGGCAGGCCTGGGATGAAGCATGGGATGAGGTGCTAGGGATTGAATTTCAGGTCCTCATGCTTGCCAGGCAGGCACTTAGACCACTGAGCTATCTCCCCAGCCCCAAATTTTTTCTTTTTTATTTGCTTTTTGTCTTCCCTCATTCCCAGTCCTAGGATGTGAGTGCCTTATGGGCCGAGATTAAATATCTCCCTTTCTTTTTTCTTTTTTTTTTTTTTTTTTTTTTTTTTTTGTGGAACCGGGGATTGAACTCAGGCCCTTGTGCTTGCCAGGCAAGTGCTTATTTACTGAGCCATCTTCCCGGTCCCAAATATCTCCCTTTCTCTATCTCTAACCCTCTCTGAAACAGGGTCTCACTATGCAGCCCAGACTGACCTTGAACTGTTAATAATCCTCCTGCCTCAGTCTTCTTAGTGCTGGGAAGACAGGCTGCACCTGCTAAGTCTTTTATTTTTATCTGTCAGTGGGCTGAGAGCACAGTTGCAATTTGCCGGCTCTGCCCTCAGAATGTATTCACACCTTGCCTCTCTCTGCACCAGCTTCTTGACCTGTCCCCATCCCCACTGTCAAGGGCAGGCCCTGTGTGGTCTCTTCCTCTTCCTCCTCCCACTCCCGCCCTCAGGACTTCACCACTTACCAGGACTCATCAGGTCCTACATGTGCTTTGGATCTGTCTTACACTTGCTACAGTTTGGACCGTGAATGTCCTCAAAGGCTCGTGTGTTAAAGGTCCTTGGTCCTCAGTTTGGTGCTGTTGGGAGGTGGTGGGGCCTTTAAGAGGCGGGGCCTTGGAGGAAGTGAGGTCATGGGGGCGTGGCCTCCCCTGGAATATTAGTACCCCTGTGGTTTCCTCTTTCTCTTTGCTTTCAGGACACTGTGAGGAGCTACTCTGCCCGTAACCTATGTGTTGTCACAGGCTTAAAATCGATCATGGAGTGGGACATTTAAAACTGAACCACAGGGGCTGGTGAGATGGCTCAGTGGTCTAAAGCACCTCCTTAGAACAAGCTAAGCTAAGCAAAAGCAGAGACCACGGTTCAATCCCCAGCACCACATGCCAGCCAGCCCCGCCCCCAGGTGGGCTGAGCTGGCCACACACACACACACACACACACACACACACACACACACACACACAAATAAATGTAAAAAAAAAGACAGCCCACTAGCCCACCACCTTAGAGTCCTGTCCAGTATTCCACACTCTGCGCGGTCCCGGCCCCTGCTGGGCTCTCAACCCACTACACTCTCTCCTGGATTTCCCTGTGGCTGACTCTTTTCACCCTCAGATTTCTACTCAAAGCCAACTCCCAGTTTATTTACTTATTTTCCTCTTCCAAATTATTTTAATTTTTTTTTTTTTTTTTTTTTTTGCCAAATAGATAAATAAATATTTTGCCAATCAGATTTTATTGGGCCCGGGGAGATGTCTCAGGGATGGGGTGATGGCTCAGTAGAATGAGAACTTCCCTGGCAAGTGCAAGGGCCTGAGTTCAATCCCCGGTTCTGCCAAAAAAAAAAAAAGATTTTATTGGCACATTTTAGATATATTTTGGGGGATAGCTACTGGGAATTGAACTCACGACTTCATGTTTGCCAGGCAGGTACTGTGCCACTGAGCTATATTCCTGGCCCCATAGATATGTATGTTACAACAGATCACATTCATCATAGAGAATTTGCACTAGTACATAATGTAACTTCCCCCTATTCCCCCCCACTTCAGACCCTCCTCCCCTCCACATTTACAAAAGCTTTGTTTCCACGTTTTCCTTCTTTTCTCAATTCTTTAACCTTTTTTCTTCTTTCCCCCTCCCTTTCTCTTGTTCCCTCCCCGTGTGAAAATTTTCCTCTTTTTTCACCATACCTAACATACAATTTGATCCTCATTTATACTTTTAGTTTCTCACACCAGAGAAGCAACGCAGTATTTACAACGTGTGTCCAATTTAGTTCACTTAAGGTCTCAGGTGTATCCATTTTCATAAAATGTCTTGAGTGTGTCCTTTTACTTTTTTGTAACAGAGTTTCACTATGCAGTACAGGCTGGCCTTGAACTCATTTTGTAGCCCAGGCTGGCATCAAGCTCCCAGCAAGCCTCCTGCCTCAGCCTTCCAAGTGCTTGTATTATAGTGTGAATGCTGGTATTACAGCTGTGCACCACCAACGCTGGGTTGAGTGTGTCCTTTTTTTTTTTTAAACATGTATTTGGTACAGGGTCTCAATATGCAGATTGAACTCATAGTGATCCGCCTGTTTTCAGCGTCCTCAGCACTGGGATTACAGGCTTGCATCACCATGCCCAGTCTCCGTCACAGGCTCAGCTTGCCCGGAGGCGGGGCTGGCGCAGCATGCGGTACCAGGGATTGAACCTCAGTCCCTGTGCTTGCCTAAGCAAGTGCTCAGTCTGCTGAGCTATTTCACCAGCCCTTGAGTGTGTCCTTCATAGCAGAGTAGTACTCCATTGTACAAAAGAGCCACATCACCTTTATCCATTCACCAGCTGATGGGCACTTGTGTTATTTCCAAGATTGGGCTATCAGGAACTACGCTGCTATAAGCACAGGGAGCTGCTGGTTCTCTTAGGCTGTTCTGCTGGAGGACTTTGTCATGCTGGTTTGCCTGATGAACTGGCTGTTCCCATCAGAGGAGGAGCTTGGGACCTTCATTGTCACTGAGGTGGCTACGGTTCACTTTGGAGAGAGCTCTGCACCTCACCTTCAGCATCATTTCCTGGCTCCAGAAGGGAGGATGGTGCCCTGCTCAGCCTCATGGAGAAGCTTGTCACACTGACCTTCCTGATGGGAACTCGGCTTTCCTCATTGTGGAGGAGCTCGGGACCTCGCTGTCGCTGAGCATGGCTGTGGCACCTTTGGGGGAGCTCTGGTGCTTGCCCTGAGCATCACTTCCTGGCTCCAGTGCAGCTCCCTTAGCTTCTGGCACAGACCTTCATCCCACTGGCATAGACTGGGCTGGGGAGATGGCTCAGTGGAATAAACACTTCCCTGGCAAGTGCAAGGGCCTGAGTTCAATCCCCGGTTCCGCAAAAAAAAAAAAAAAAAAGTCGAAACCACTGGCATAGACTTCCTGGCTCCCACCACTGACCTTGGGCCTTCCCAGTGCAGATCTGTGAAACACGCCTGCGTGAGACATGGTTGTGGACTCCAGGCCTCCAGCTGGGCTTCTGGAAGGCACTGTGGTGGGTTCTAGGTCTTCGGCTGGACTTGTACAGGATATTACTGTGGGATCCAGGCCCTCAGCTGAACTCACTGGTCACTAGTATGTGGACAGGTTTCCTGCACTCTCTTTTTGTAGAAGATTCTTTGGGTGGCTATTATAATCTTATAGAATATGTATTCTGTATTGTGTTTTTCCCCTTATAAGACCCCAAACTACAACAGGGTCCATGGTTAAACTATAACCCTTTGGCCAATTCTGGCCCTCCACTTGTTTTTATAAATAAAACTTTATTGTCACACAGACAGGATTCTGGTGTCCTCACTGATTATAGCTGCTTTCAAGGTGATACTGCTCACTTGAGCAATTTTGGCAGCAACCGTATCTGGCTGTGGACAGACCAATTTGTTGGCCTCTGGTTTAATGGACCGGAACTGCTCTTTCTAATACCAGAATCATGTATCTGAATCTGTCAAATATTTAGGATCCCAGCACTAGGGAGGCTGAGGCAGGGAGATCAGAAGTTGGAGGCCAGACTGGGCTCATAGTGTGCTCGAGTTCAGCATGAAATATATAGTTCATCCCAAGCACCACCAAAAAAAAAAAAAAAAAAAAACAAAGAAAAGAGGGGGCCAGGGAGATAGCTCAGTAGAATAAGCGCTAGCCTGGCAAGTGCAAGGGCCTGAGTTCAATCCCTGGTTCCTCCAAAAAAAAAAGTAAAGAAAAAAAAAAAAAAAAGGAAGAAAGAAAGAAAAAAAATCTGAGCCAAGGCCCAATGACATACCCATCTTATAGCCTTTGGGAGGTTCAGGCAGGAGGGTTGCAAGTTCAAGTCCAGCCTGGGCAACTCAGTGACTTAGCCAGAACTGTCTCAAAATAAAATATGAAAAGGGCTGGGGATGCAGCACAATCTGGAGGCCCTGGGTTCTGTCCTCAGTACCAAAACAAAAACAAAAACTGCCTGGATGTCATTGTTACAGTTGACATGGGCACATGAGTGAGAAGCGCATCCCACTACAGTCCCCTGCGGTAGCCACACAGCCTGTCAGTTCCCAGTGGCCTTGGCTGGGCTGGGGATATAGCTCTGTGGCATAAGCGCCTACCTGGCAAGTGCAGGGTCCTGAGTTCAATCAGAAGAGAGAGAGAGAGAGAGAGAGAGAGAGAGAGAGAGAGAGAGAGAGAGAGATATCTTAGCACCTATCCAGCGGCCTTGGCCATTCGGGCCCTTACACATAGCTGGTCCAGAAGGACGGTCACAGCATACACCTGAGGTCAGTCGGAGGGAGGAGACTCACACTGGCCACAGTGCAGGTGGACACCACGCCCATGCCCGCGCCATACAGGGGCTGGCGCTGGCCGTCAAGTTAGCTCCCTGGTCCTCTGCCTTCCTAGCCAGACACTCTTGCCACACGGCCCTGTGGGGACAATTCTGGGGGACCAGGGAGGGGAGAGTCCAGGGAGCAGTGGCTCCACTCACTACCCTCTTCCTTCTCCTCCCCCTCTTCCCAGGGATCCTCCCTAGGGCTCTGTCCCCATAAGTGACACCCTCCTAGGGAGTAGGGGAGGCTGGATGGCTCTGATCAGTCCCTTGGGCTCGGTGGTCCACAAGAGACCCTCCCCTCACAAAGCCCCTTCCTGTAGCACAGAGCTGGGGGCACAGGACAGGATATTCGAACCTGGGCTCCATATGCCTCAGCGAGGAGGCTTTCCTAGCTCCGTCCTACCTGCACAAAGGCGGGTGCTGTGACTCTGGGGTACTTTACTCCTCCACTCAATCATTTATTTTTAAATGTATTTGGTACAGGGTCTCGCTACACAGCTGGGACTCATAGTGATCCTCCTGTTTTCAGTCTCCCCAGTGCTGGGATTACAGGAGTATGCCACCACACATCCAGTCTCGGTGGCCGGCTCAGAGTGCCTGGGGGCAAGGCCAGACGCAACATGTGCTGCTGGGGATTGAACCCTAGACCCTGAGCTTGCCTAAGCAGGCTCTTAGTCCAATGAGCTATCTCGCCAGCCCCACCTGCTCAGAACCGGGGATTGAACTCGGGCCCTTGCGCTTGCCAGGCAAGTGCTTATTATATTGAGCCATCTCCCGGGCCCCCACTTGCTCATTCTTGCAACCATGACTTATTAACACTGCTATGTGGCAGGTACTAGGGACACAGCTGACCACAGAGCACACACGTAAGTCTCCACACCCTGCCCTGGTGGAGCTGGTGTTCCGGTGCAGGGACAAAGAGATGCAATAAAATCTTTCCTGCCATAGCCAGGAAAGAAATCAGTGCAGAGCAAGAAGCCAGGCAAGGTGGCTTACCCCTGTCACCAGCACTCTGGGAGGCTGAGGCAAGAAGACCTCAATTTTGAGCACAGGCTGGGCAATTTAGTGAGAGCCTGTCTCAAAATAGAATTTTTTTGTTTTTGCGCTGCCTGAAGATGCCTTCAGGGCATTTGTGGTTTGGCGTATCTGGGTTCGAACCCCCAGCATCTTGAGGCTGACTGCTTTGTTTAAGCAGGCACTTAAACAACTGAGCTAATGGGCAGCCCCCCCCCCCAATCTCAAAATAAAGAATAACAAGGGC